TGTGTGTGTGTGTGTGTGTGTGTGTGTGTGTGTGTGTGTGTGTGTGTGTCTGCAACTGCCACTGCACCGACTTTCCCGCGCACAAACACGTTGACACGGATACTGATTTCAGTCCAAACTACTTGTGACACTGAATTCAGTTGCCACGGTCCAACAGGGCAGATACAACAAGCGAGCGAGCGAGCGAGCAGTGCGTGGGTGTTTTGGTTTTGCTGGCCCGCATCCTCTGCGTCCGAAGGGTTACCTCGAGGTGCAACCGCCCTCGGTGTCGCACTTGCTGTGCTACCATCCCCTTCTTTCTTTCTTTCTTTCTTTCTTTCTTTCTTTCTTTCTTTCGTTCTTTCTTTCTTTCGCCCCTCTCGCCATCACACTTCCCTTTTTGTTTTTCTGTCCTGCTTGTGCTACATTGTGCTTCACGCGCCAATCATGGATTCCTCTGCGCGGTCTTCTTCAATTGGAGATCGCGGCAGCACAAGCGGCGACGCCGAGGAGAGCGTGCGCTTTCAGGACGCTGGCAAGCCGGTGTGGCTCGATGACAGCAGCACGTGCAAGTGCGGCTATCTGGTGAAGAAGGGCAAGGTCAACACGTTCAGCCACCGGAAGCGCTGGTTCGTCGCGCGTCTTGGAGGGAACGTCGAGTACTTCAAGGTGCGTCGTGTGCATGTGCATGTGTTTGTGTGTTTGTGTGTTTGTGTGTTTGTGTGCATGTGTATTGGGGAAGCAGGAGTGGTGCATTCACGCGTTCTTTTTTTTTTTTTTTTTGTTGTGAGTGTACATGCGCCTTTGTACACGTTCGTCACGCAAACGTGTCCGATTGTTGCGGTGTCCTTATCTTATTGTAGGGCGTGACGGTCGTTTTTTCGTTTTGTCAATGGCATCACTCTCACACACACACTTGTCACCAATCCACCCGTGCATTGTCACCTTACCCTCTCCATGTCTCCCCTCTCCGCTCGTCAGGATGAGAGTGCCACGCAGTCCATGGGTGAAATTCCACTGCTGAACGCCAACATCCGGCCCGTGCTGGAGAAGCGGTCGCGCGGGTTTGGCTTTGGTCAGTCGCATCATATCGGTGTTGTGTTGTGTTGTGTTGTGTTGTGTTGTGCACTGCAAGCGTGTTTCCTCAAGTCAACTGCCATTGACCGCACACCTCATGTCACCACCCACATTGTCGTGCACGCTGTGCATTTGCAGAGATTGTCACCGAGTCGCGTGTGTGGCAGCTCTACGCGTCAAGCGCAGAGGAGCGAACCAGCTGGGTGAGGGCACGCAATTGTGTGTGTGATTGAGAGAGAGAGAGAGTGTGTGTGTGTGTGGGCGAGAGAGAGAGAGAGTGTGTGTGTGTGTGAGAGAGAGAGAGTGTGTGTGTGTGAGAGAGAGAGAGTGTGTGTGAGTGTGTGTGTGTGTGTGTGTGTGTGTGTGTGAGTGTGTGTGTGTGTGTGGTTGCGTGTGTGCGGGTGCGAAGTTGTGATTGGATCGTTGCATGTATGCTTACCTTGCTGTTGGGCTGATGTGAGATGAAATCGTTGACGCTTTGTTTGGTTTGGTGATTTCGCTCGTATCAGATGTGCTTTTTTCACCTTCATATCCCCCGCGTTCATTCGTAACGTCGTCCCCAACTCACGCACACACACACACACACACACATACACATCAGCTGGAGTGGTTGAAGCGGGCACAGGCGCTCACGGATTCAACTGTCTATCTCCACCAGGCAGAGGTGAGCATGCACACACGCATGTGTATTCATACACACACACCACACACCACGCACACACACACACACACACACACACACACACACACACACACACACACACAC